GCCCATCTTGCTTCTAGGAGGACTCTGGTCTTGTGGAAAGCTGGGTGACCGAGTACGGAAGAATGATGAAATTTCACCTCCTTTTCGTGGGTTCTCGACGATTTGAATAGACGGAGAATCACTGAGACTGCCGTGGACAGGGTCTATCTCAACTGTACACCACGGACACGAAGGCGATTCATCACGTTCTCATGAACCCTGCGATTTACCAGAAGGACGAGGCGGCGCGGCAGTTTCTCAGTCGCATTGTTGGGCCGGGTGAATCTCTCCCCTGTTGCCCCAAATATTTTCGCTATAACCATCATTCATATAGGTGTTCTTGTGGTTGAGGGCGACGCTCATAAACAACAGGTCAGTCGCATCTCACCCCAACGTGAAGGATGTCATTGATGTATGAGTTTCAGCGTAAAGTCATGGTACGGTGTCGGCCATATTGGAAAGTCAAGCGCTGAGGCGTTTGTCGCAGAGCCCAGCATTCGGAGCACCTCAAATCCGTGAACTGACTGGCATCTTCGTCGACAAGTCAATACAGGTGCGGCGGAGTTCTTTGAACCTCTGATCTATTATCTGAATTTCTCCCTCTCAGCTTCGGGACATTTGGGTTGCCGAGGCAGAAAAGAATGGAGGTGTCGCACGCGTGGAGATCCTATCGTGGCTCAGCAAGGCAACGCTGGACATCATCGGGCTCGCAGGTGTGTAGAGAAAGCGAAACCCTTATTGAAGTTCACGATCCGGGGCTAAACGAAAATCGCTAGGATTCAACCACGATATCAATGCCCTCGGAACGGTAGATGGCGACGCGCCCGATGAACTGGCCGAGGCATTTGAGTCAATATTCAAGACCGAGACGGGAGTCGATATCTTCCGCGCCATTCGTTCGGTAATCCCTATACTTCGAGACATAGTAAATGCCGTCACTTTCTTTCATTTTCTTGAACTGATGATCCATAATATAGCCGACGAAGACGGATAAAATCGTCCGCGAATCCCAGGCGACGATGACGAAAATCGGACGGAAGTTGCTCGCAGATAGCACACAGCAAGTCGCAGAGGATGGGACGTTTGAGACCGGACAAGGCCGTGACCTCCTCACGCTCCTTGTACGGGCCAACACGTCGAAGGAGATCCCCGAGAGCCAGCGATTATCGGATGAGGACGTTATCGCCCGTAAGTGGCCTTCCACAGATGTACTGTAATCATAGGCTAACCGAATAACAGAGGTCCCAACATTCCTAGTCGCTGGACATGAGACCACGAGGTACTCCAGTTCTTCCGCTCATTTCAAAAGGATTCATGAATCATCTGCGTGCCATTAGTACGGCGGTGACGTGGGCGCTGTTCGCACTCACGCAGAACATACCCGCCCAAACTCGGCTAAGAGAGGAGCTTTTGGGCGTGTCAACAGACAACCCGACCATGGACGAACTCAACGAGCTCAAGTATCTCGATTGTGTCGGTCAGTGCTCAACTCGATTTCCCTTGAGATGTATTCGATCCTCAGAATGACTCCAGTTCGCGAGACACTCCGCGTGCATGCACCTGTTCCTGCCACCAGTGCGACTTACTTCCGTCTTCTTCTGACGCCCGTCTGATGAGACCTCGAATTTAGGTCGGGTTGCCATGCAGGACGATATCGTGCCGTTGAGCACGCCAATCACCGATTCAAAGGGCACCGTCCATGAAACCTGGAGGTGATCCCTCTCATGCCAATTCGCTCGCTCGTTATTCACCCATGCATTCTAGGATCAATAAAGGCGAGCTGGTCTTCATTCCGATCCTAGCCCTCAATCGCGACTCCCGGATATGGGGCCCAGATGCAATGGAGTTTGTGTGCGTGCCTCCATCTTCCCGATCCCAAAACAACTCCCATCTCACTCCGGCAGACCCGAACGCTGGGAATCCCCGAATCCAGCATCGAAGGCAATTCCCGGCGTCTGGGGTGACATGATGACATTCATTAGCGGCCCCCGCGCATGCATAGGCTGGCGATTCTCGCTGGTCGAGACGAAAGCGCTGCTGTTCACGCTGATTCGCGGGCTCGAGTTCGAGCTCGCTGTCCCGATAGCGGACATCGGGAAGAAGGCCAACGCGATCGTGCAGCGCCCAATTGTGCTCAGCGAACTCGCGGCCGGAAACCAGATGCCGCTGCTTGTGAAGCCGGTGGTTCGGTAGTCGGAGGACGAGGGGTTCCTGTATTATATTGACTCTTGTAATTAACCCCACCTCTCATTAAAATATAAAATAATAATGTGGCCTCGTTCTGTAGCGCTGGACGTGCTGGCCCCGACCAAGGCATAGGTAATTGAACCCTCCAATTCAACGGCGACGTATACACGGCATCGGAGTACACCTCGACCCGAATGTCGGAAAAATCTTTGTTGGCATATATGGTCTGAGAGCATCTGACGACCTTATATTGCCAGCGCAGGATAATATATCATCTGATATGGAGCACTCAGATCATATATGCAGGTCTCAGAGCAAGCCCTTCCACTCGAAATATAGACAGCTGAAGCCAGTGTCGGCACTCAATGTTGGCTCCGTGTCAAGAAGGAGTGATGGCTGATCTCGGTTAAAGTAAGATGACATCACAGCGCCCGTCTTTCTACTCTCCACTCGTCAATGGATTCAAAAGACCACAAGAGCTCTCCCGCAACCTCAGTAACGGAAGATGATACTGACCCCGAGCAGGATTATACCCACCCAGCCAAACGTGACCCACCCAGGATCGATAGTTCGCGGCTGGTTCGCGGGCTGTGTCAGGTGTGACGGAGAAGAAGGAGGCGACCGCGGAGCCAGCCCCGCCTCGAAAAAAAATCAAAACCAATGCTCCTGTGCCTACTGATGAAGCACAAATTACGTCTCGCCGACGGGAAGCACTGGCCAAGATTCGATTTCTTACCGACGAAGAGATGGTTATGAAGCGCCAAATGCACGACTTGCGGCGCCAGATGACGGACGAGGTCATCCCGGACAGTGAAGATGTATGTTGGACAATTAGACTGAGCGCGACTGTGCCTGATTGTGTTTTTAGGATGGCACGCCGCCGCCACCCTCCGATTATTCGCCTTTCGATGGGAGGGGCCGCTACTGGCGATGGCCACTGTCTCTTCCTTCTCAAGCAGACATCAAAGTCACCAACCATGCTCCTCTGGCTGAATGCATGGACTTGTTCAAAAAATTAGGGCTCAGCTTCGTTGAGTTTCCTGATTCACCGTGGCCTTCTCATGCGCACTATCGGGTAATTCTCAGTCTTTTACGTGCACATTGATACCATCCTTTCATTTTCAGAATTTATATGACCATAGCACCGACTATCAGAGACTCAAACGTACACTTTTACCGAATGAAATTTCACGGGGAAACGATGCGTTCGGAGTGGGTCATTAAAACGGTGTGTTTGTTTCTTTAGACCAAATCCCGAATTGAGGCGCCCTGCAGTTCCATGAAGCGATGCAAAGTCAGCGCAGCAACACCCACACTCGCCTCCGCACGTATTCTGGCCCGGAAATTTTCGACTGCACGGCGGCCGACCTCCAGCATCGAGTCTCGCAGAGACAAGTTCCGCCAGATGATCGGCTACGTCGAAAGTGATGATGGCTCGTCGGGGTACGAGCTGTTCAATGTCCCGTTGCTTCACAAGAGCTACAGCGGCAAATTCGACGTCCACACGGTGTTCCGCGGACCAATACTTCACCTGGTGAGTTCTCTCTCGCATGGATGTGATTATTTATTGACGGTCATATACGCACCAGGCGTTCGCAGCGATTACCCGTGGATCACAGACGGTGACCGCCATGAAGAAGGGCGGCAAACCTCACCAGGCAACCGGGCAAACAGTCTCTCAAATCTGGGCCCTGCAGCATTGCACTCCTGGCTCGATCGCTGGCACGGCTATATTTGTAAGTGTCGCTCGTTCCAGTCATCCTGTTGTCCTGAATGCCAACAGGCTCGTTGGGCCGCTTCTGCCGATGCGAATCTGAGCGCGTGTGGGGCGCAGACCGGCATCAATTGGCATAGCGACCTCGAGAAATACATCCAATATCTTCAAAGCAGGCTTGACAAGCGCAAGGCATCCGTTCTGAACCTCTTTCGTGAGTGGGACGAGCTCTTTTTCCCCGAGTCGGAGACGAGTCTCGCTGGAAAAAATGCCGACGATGATGGGGCGGAGCGTGCGATGAAAGATGTGATGGAACTATTGAATGCAGATGCAGAGGAAGCACCCGCTGACACTCAGGCTGGTAGCCCGTAGTTTACACATCATTTGTACATTGATTGGCATTATACACGTGCCGAAGAAGTCAAATTTTCCATTCAAAACGGCCTGAAGAAATTTATTTTTGGCTCGTGGAGCCCGGTGGAGCCCCACCCCGCAGCCGGAGCAAGGTACATAACTCAGGTCATGTCGTCCCAACTTTTTACAGTCATTAACATACGCGACTCACCACTGCTTGGGTTTCGCACTAGCTGACTCACCTGCTTACTTCTAACTTATTAAAGCTTTGATTAAAGCCTTGATACTTACTGACTCTCTTAACTGACTAGCTGCCTAGTGACCTTGAATTGAATGAGCACAACAAAGTCCTCTCCCTAGAAAGGGGGTGCGTGCTACCATTTTTCATTTCTTCGGCCAGCTCCGTATCCGGCGAAATATGGAACAATATTGTGAATACTGCGCTATCAGTCAGATAAGGTCAGTCAGACATGATATCGCGCTGTAGCGACATAAAGTACATTACTAAAACTTATATGGGGCCCTCGGGCCTGATGGCCTTATATCGCAGTATCCGGCAATATATGGTGATATATTCCAACAAAGATTTTTCCGACAAACGGAAGCCGCTGCGATAGAAACGAATGTACATAAGCCGCGAAAAGAAGCACTGGAAAGGGATATCATCCCGAGGAGGAGGAGGGACCTCAAATATTAGGTTGAAAGTGGAGCGCAGAAAAAAGGACGCACAACCCCATAACAATAATAAAAATGGGTTTCAAGCACATGCCGTCGGGAGGAATCGAACTCCCGTCTTTCTCTGGTAGCAACGGATATGTTTACATTTCGAGAAGGACCTTCCACTGGTCGACGACGGCTTCCTTCCCTGTATGTACTTTCAGTGGGTTAAGTGAGATACATTAGGCAAGGAATGTGCGTACTAGCCCGGATGAAAACAATAATAATGAAGATACCGCGGACACTCAAGATTGAAGATTGAAGAGAAGAATGGAGGTTGCTTTTCCCGGTAAGTCACTGCACTCCACCCCTTAGTAACAATGTGAACATCAAAAGTGAACCGCAGGAGCATACATTGGGACTACCCCCGGTACGTCGGCCTCAACGCGCGTCCACATGCCTTTCTGATTCTCACTGAATGTTAGGAATCATTTTCGATGTCTACACAAGTAAGCGGTCATTTACTCGGCATGTGTGTTTATAGCTCATTATAATCGTAGATCCCAGCGCAGTGAGTTCCATGCGACATTATTAAAACTGTCCCTCAGGTCTACCCTATCCCAGGTCCCGCTGTGTCCGTGGAGTCCCTTGTTCTCGCTACCGGTGCTTATTTCTCGTGCGCAGGTGGTCTCCGTAAGTGAGATACCGAGAGAAACGAGATCGGGGTCGTTTTTGTGGGCGACGGGAAATTTTCAAGAGTAATTTATAGAAACTTTTGTGTTGAATGTATGCATCTTATTGGCCCGTCTGGTCGCGTAGCCGCGTACGGAACTATGCGACTGAGCCCAACATGTATCCTTCAGGATCTATTTGGACCCACAGGCGCGTCGGGATGATCCGCCATCGTCGATTCAGATCATTATTTGATCCGATGGCGTTCTTCACCTCACAAGTCCCACTTCTCCGAAGCTCCCTCAATACTCGCTTTGGACGTCTGGAAAGAAACTGGCTTGTCCTGTCCATCGCTGGAGCTCCTCTCCCACTCCCATCCCTCATTCTCGCTCGTCTGGCTCACAGCAGAGCGACGCCTACCGTATCGCCTAAGGCGCCTGCGGCCTGCAAACCCACTCGAACCCCATTGACATAACCCAAGCGAAACTGGCCAATATATCTGATTCGGGACAAGACGTGCCCACCACTCCTACGGCCTTCAGGATCTCACGCGTCTATGCCCGTCTGGACCTCAGCCGACACCGTCCGGAGTCCTTCTCTTGCTTCGCACTGACCGACGGAAGGCCTTCCCTTATGGCACTGGTCACTTGGGTACCCTCCGCCCTGCCAAAAGGATATTTATTCGTTATTGGGCGCGATAGATTGTGTGGCGCTCCGCAATACAAAACAATCTCACGCGATGGAAGTTCTGTCGTAACACTTCATTCATCATGCCTGCCCAGCGGTACCGGTTCTCGGAATTTTACTGTAAGTCCGCGAGACGTCCGGTCAATTTTAGTTCAATTTCGCCTGTCTGGTTCTTCTGGGTATGCAGCTATCTGACGTGGGTATGGGTATGCTCACGACAGGCGTGACACCGGACTGTATATATATATATAAAGTGCCTCGCACTTGCTCCCCCCCCCTCATCTACGCCCGCTCCTCCCATCCCATGGAATATGGAGACGTTACGCTGGCCCAAGAAATGTCACATCTCCACCCTCTCCGATGATGTCCGTGCTTACTCATTGGCTTGCCCACAGAATCCTGCAGGATTATTGCCACCTCCTCGGGATATGTGAGTCGAATTATCCTCTCATTCATCCGCCCCTCATCGACCGCAAAAGCGTTCCTCTACTGGGACCACCTCATTACGCTAGGTACGCCCGGATCACTCCCGCCGAACGCACCTAACCGGACTACCTTCACGTAGATGCGGAAGCCCACCACCTCTGGCGGCGCCGGAAGACGACGAGCGCATACTGGTTCTTCATAAACCGCTACCTCGGATTTATCAGCAACATCCCCATCGTAATTCTGCCGTTCTCCAAGCTGTCCCCGCAGGTGATCAATTCATTCTCCACTCTAAATAAATGACAAACAGTAATGTGATCTAAATGCCAGCTGTGTATGCGGTACAGCTTGCTGCGCGAAATTCTGCTCTTCGCGACGCAGCTGCTGGTGTCGCGTACGTATGGGGTGGATTTTGCGGGGTGTTTCGTGTTGTGCTGACCTCGGGTCGGGTCCACAGTTATTATGATCCTGCGGGTGTACGCGCTGTACAGTCGCAGCTTACGAATCGCGTCTCTGTTGCTTGCGATTGGGGCGGGCGTGATAGGACTTAGTGTGGTACGTCGTTCATTTAAATTTCTCAGAAAATTCCCCTGACGATGCACACTGCAGTGGTCAATGAATGGCCAAGAAACGTCTCCGTCATCCCTCGGTGGATGCCATGTAGAAATATCACAGTCCACGTACGAAACACCCGCTACGCGTCGATCTAGTGCCTAATTATGATGTCCCCGTCCAGCGCCAGACGTCAGTGCCGGCGCTCTCTCCGATAAACTACTCACCAGTATGTACTTTAGGACTGGCGATTCCGTGGGAGGGCCTCTTCGCCTTCGATGCCACGATCTTCGGGCTGACGGTCTTCAACGCGCACGCGACGACACGTCGCATGGGCCCGCTCGCGAATATGCCGCTCCATAGGGTGATCGTACGGGACGGTGCGGTCATTTCCCTTTTCATCCAAGCCACAAAATAAACGCATTCTGACGCGTACGTCTGTAGGTGCCCTGTATTTCGGGTGAGTGATGCTATTATCTGTCTACTCGAGTTTCTCTTAGCGAGAGCAGTATTATGGCCCTCGCCAATCTGTCGAATATCGGCACATTCTATGTACGGCATTTCATTGGGCGGTCTTCCTCCCGCTGAAGAGGTTGTTCCTTAGCTTGGCGGAGTACGGCTCCATCCATTCTCTTCGTCCGGGCCAACACTGACTGACAGCAAAATAGCCTCTTTTCCGCGGCTCGTTTGCGACGTTCGCTAGCTGGTAAGTGGCACTCCACAGCATAACTACCTCAGCTCGACGCTGAATGAGAACTTCCCGCTTCAGCATCTCCGTGACGATGATGTCACGCCTAATGCTTAACCTCCACGAACAGGCGGATGTGGGGATCCTCAGCAGAACGAATCTTTCGATACCCCGAGATGACATGCCTCTCGAGGGCCTGGGTGATTACGCCGACACGCATATACATGAATTGCCTGCTCCGGGTTTGGATGTGGTACATAGCAGACCTGGAGAAGGTCTGGAAATAAATAATGTTTAATTCTCCTGGGTACAAATTAATCGAATTATAAGCCCGATTAAGATTCTGCGCGTTCCCTTCTTCGTTCGGCATTCTCCGCTTCTGTCCCGCCCTGTGGCACGTGAGCGCGCTATCCCCGCCATCAGATGCCATGTCTCAAAACGGGACGCTGCCAGCCACCACCACCGAAAAAGCGTACAAACAAACCCTTATCTTGTTGGTTGAAACATTCCGGAATCTCGTCCCTCAGATAAGCCAAGATTGTAGGACGCACAGTCCCATAATAAAAATGGGTCTCAAGCAATTTATGCCGTCGGGAGGAATCGAACTCCCGTCTTTCTCTGGTAGCAACGGATATGTTTACATTTCGAGAAGGACCTTCCACTGGTCGACGACGGCTTCCTTCCCTGTATGTACTTTCAGTGGGTTAAGTGAGATACATTAGGCAAGGAATGTGCGTACTAGCCCGGATGAAAACAATAATAATGAAGATACCGCGGACACTCAAGATTGAAGATTGAGGAGAAGAAAGGAGGTTGCAGAGAACACAGTCGGAGATTCGCGCTACTGCCGAAAAACTTTAACCGCAGCTCGAGCAAGCCGTCGGGAGGAGTCGAACCCCCAGCGTTCTCGTATTCGGGGCTATATCGAACCTGGAACATGTATCATTTGAGAAGGACCTCCACTGGTCAACGACGGCTTCCTGACTGTGCCTGCGTTGGGTCAAGTGAGGTATAAAGGTGGCAGGATCGTGCGTACCGTGGACTCGGCGGACGAATAAGTAGAAGGGCTGGCGGGCACAGATCATCCTACAGAGAACTCAGATATTAGGTTGCGTACGTAAAAAGATCGGCTGAGGCTGATCATGAGACAGCGACACGCCACAGCTAAAAAAAAAAGGAGATTTGATGTAGACCGTCATGCTGTCGGGGGGAGTCGAACCCCCAGCTTTTTCGTATCTCTGGAGCCGGTCTAAGCAACTGAGAGAGGAGGACAAGGTCCGCCACTGGTCGACGACAGCTTCATTTTTCTCGTGTGCGCCGCGTTAAGTGAGCCAAGGTGTAGGACTGCGTACATACCTCCACGGATGGAACGAGCGAGTGTGCAGTAGGAAGTTGAGGGCCAGTGCTCTTCGCGAAGGCGGGTCTAGAACAAAGGGTGCAATACCACAAAAAAGACAGTTATCGAGGCGCCATCGGGAGGGGTCGAACCCCCGTCTTCCTCGTAGCTGAAGTGGCTGCCCTACGGCTTTATCCATAGAGCTGTGAATGGTGAAGACAGGAAGAAAGCGAGGTGAATCTGGGGCGACTTTCGTTCTCTCGACGATCCTCCTCCTAGCCACCGAGAGAGAAGGACCGCCACTGGTCAACGACGGCTTCCTCTCTTCTGTGCGCGCCAATTTATGTGAGCGAACCATTCCGCAGTACGGAGGTCGAGACCTAGTGATTTTCGCGAAGGCGGGGTGGAGAACGAAGGGTGCAATGCCATAAAAAGACCAATAGGCCATTATGCCATCGGGAGGAGTCGAGCCCCCGTCTTTCTCGTAGCTGGAGTACCATTATCCGTACATACGCTTGGAGAAGGACCTTTCCTTGGTCGACGACGGCTTCATATCCATAGAACTGTGCACTGTGAGGAGGGAAGCGAGGTGAATCCGCGGGTGACTTTCGTTCGCGGTCGGACAGTCGTAGGAACATTTCGCGGAGAATCCATGGATTGCAGCCATTACTGACAGGAACGCTTGCCCATTAGTTCAAAGTTACAGTTCGACTTCAGTGGCATTTGTTCTTTTGAGACGAGAGATCGATTCCACCGGCAAAAGGCACGCTTTAAAGGGGGGGGGGGGGGGGGGGGGGAGATACGGCGCTCGGGTGTTCTAATTTTTCGCGTCAAAGTAA